ATATATATATTTTTATATATATATATATATATATATATTATGCATTTAGCAGATAGCAGATGCATACCTTGGCTTGGTATTGTTGGCAGAATTCGGCCCTCAGCGAAAACTAATTGAGGAACCCTGATCTAGATTTTCATGCCAGAACTCTGTATTTGTTCAGCATGTGACATAAATGTCTATGAATGTCTGGATGTCCTGTCAGAGAAGAAGGAATTCACATTCCTCCATTCGCACTCACAGGATGTATGTGATGACTCCGATGCTCCTGGAGGAAACAGAGGGGCAGAAGAGAGCGCATGGTTAAGCCAAAGCCGAGTATTGACGCTTGCTGTATGTAAAGTACAAAGCGTGATGTGCTTAAGAGTTCTCACCACATGTCTGCCTCTAATCCCAGCGGCTCATAGTTGACTATCTCTGGAGCTGAAAATAAACCAGGTTTGAGGCATCAGCTACATTTCATTCAAAACAACAAATGTGGGATGTCCAAAGATGGAAGAGATTTCAGCAGCATTCGACACATCAGTGCCATTCCAGTAATATGAAAATGAATCACTTTGTGTTTTACATCATGAACTTTTGAACTTACCAACAAATTCTGGAGTCCCAAAAATGTTTTTGAACTCCACTCCGTCCTTGATCCTATGCGCCAAACCGAAGTCTATAAGTTTGATCCGCGGCAGGTGGACATTGTTATCCAGCAGCATGATATTTTCAGGCTGAAAACCAAATAAATTGCCAATTAAAACCATGAGCAGTCACCCAAACTATGTAAAAAAATAAGCAATTAAAATTGAATCAATTTACAGCCCATTTCCATTGACATTATGGGCGTCACTGTATGACGCCATTGAACCAGTCATTCGTTATTCACAATTCTTGTTTATTCCTACATTTGATTACCTTTATCATTTCAAATGATTATGTGAGTATGTGAACTTTTAATTTCATATTTATTTACTTATTTTTCTGATTCATAGTTTTCAATTATTTGCCTGATATTAAATTAAATTAAATTTAATTAAATTTAATTTCCCCATGCATGGAATGTTTGATATTTTTATAATTGGATATTGTTTGTTCTATTTTATACATTTACATGATCTATTGTTCTAAAAAACTCAATTCTACATTCAAGTGGGAAACACTTCAGTTCTATGACTGGAAGGAAAATGTAATTGATTGAAATGTGAAAAAGTGAAACTGAAATGTCTTGAGTTCACAAAACACATTGTAGCCTTGCAAACTGTTTTTGTATTGTTCATGACAATGAAAACAGCACTGGAGATACACAAGCTTTCTATTTTTCAAGTCCATCTCAGTAAATGCTACTTGTCATATGTGTGTCTGGCTAATCAACGTTAACCTCCACCTCAGCAGTTTGCATGCTGATGAAGTAGCTGAAAGTTTCATGTAATTCTGAGGGTTGTTGCGTGGGACTCAACACCTGTTATGTTCTCATATTAATGCCTCTACGTACCCAAGAGGTGAAAAGAGGCATCCAGCTGACTTCAAGTGTGAAGGAGGATGCTGTGTTCCCGTAGAAATTGTTCCATGTCTAGGCTGTACCAGTACAGATATTTGCAAAATCTCTGAATTTAGCCGATAGCTAAATTAGCTACTTTTTAGAAACAGTCCTTTTGTGAGCATTATATGGTGCATTTTGTCAAAATATCAGTAAACGTTGTTTTGATTAAGAAAGTTCTGCTATGCTAATATCTTTTTGAGTGTGAGACTTTGAGTATTATGCTAAGCTAAGATAAGCTAATCCAGTGAACTAATTAGTGGCTATATTAAATCTCTATAAAATTTATATTAAACCTACTTTCAATTTTAATGAAAAATTGTTTCATGAGCATGGAAGGACATGTTTTGTTTACATATCAGTTAGCATATGTTGTTTTGAACATGAGAGTGTTATGCTAAGCTAATATCCAGTGACCTAATTAGCTGGCTACTTAGCTAAAATAACTATTTTTATTAACAACTCTTTCGTAAGCACAGAATGACATGTTTTGTTCATATGTTGTTTTAAGCAAGAGGGGGAGTTATGCAAGACATATTTTTTAGAGCGTTTGCTCATCTGCAATCCGTTTCCTATCAGATGTCAGATAGACGTTTAGAAGATGTCTTTAAGATGTTTATGATTTAGAATGTATTTAAAACTGAAATCTTAAAGACGTCTATCAGTTGTTCGTACATAGCAGATGCTTTCCAGTTGAAGCGATCTTTAACAGGATTTTTATGAATGTTCATTGAAGTAAGCAATATAGTTATGAAAGTAATATATTTGAGTGCCTTTGGGAGAAAAGGCCTTTTGCTTCTCACATTTAAGGCACTTCACAACCTTGCTCCACCATATCTTACTGACCTTCTCCGCATCTATACTCCTTCTCACACTCTCAGATCGTCACACTCGATCTCTCGTGGCTATACGTTTAAGCACCATGGGAGCAAGAACTTTTAGTTTTGCGGCCCCTTGCCTATGGAACTCTCTTCCCCCTAATATACGGAACAGTGACAGCCTTCATACTTTTAAATCTCGTCTTAAGACTCATCTTTTTACCCAGGCTTTCTTATGACTTGCTCTTATTAATTGCTCTTATTATTGCTCTTGTAAGCCTTTATTGTATTCATGATGTATGCAGTTGTGCTGTTGAATTTTGTAATGCTGGCAGGACTTGTTTATTTATTGTTACTGTTTTTACTAGTTTGCTTGCTGTAAGGTGACCTTGGGTGTTTAGAAAGGCGCCATTAAATAAAATGAATTATTATTATTATTATTATTACTTAGAAAAACAGGATGGAGATTATCGCAGAGAACAAACAGCGTGGGTGACATGTCTCATCATGTGCCGCTGATAATCTTGTGTTAGAATGTCTGGACCTGGGCCAGCCAGGATGAAAATCACGTGTGGATGGGGTATGTACGCTCTCAGCCCATGCTGGGACGGTGTTCGACACAGTGATTAGTTAGAGCTGTCATTAGCAGAGGAAGCTGTTTATGAGCTGAAAAGACTGAAAGGAAGGAATTTCCAGACGGTTGACAGAAACGGGGTCATGTATGCATTCCCAAGAAACAGTACAATGGCAGGTCTTAGAAAAGTGAATAGCTATTTTGTCATGCAAAGTTTCAGGTGTTGCCATGCAACAGACCCGATTGTTCTTCAGAAAAGGCCAGTTCACCTCTGCTTGAGGAAGAGCTACACTGTTGCCATGGCAACCATTATAGCTGTGTCCCGCCTTCACAAACAAATAATTTATAGGAAGCTATACGACTGACTGTCTTGTACTGTCTTGTACCTTCAGGTCAAAATGTGCGATTTTCTTGGAGTGCAGGTACTGAACTCCGTTGAGGATCTGTTTGATGAATTCGGTGGCTTCCTCTTCACTCAGCGACTCCTTCTGAGCCAGGAAGTCGAAGAGCTCGCCTCCTGAAACACTAAAGAATTTCCAATGGTTAGAAGTGGTTTACCTGTCTAACACCCAAACCAACAGACATATTCAAAGATGCATCCTCAAATAAGTCTTGCACTCGTAAGAAGCTGACTTAAATCGGTTATAATAATTTGAGGTCATAACAAAGCATTAGATTTCTTAAATAAATTTTTTTTTTGATAAATAAACAAATATTTATCTATTTAATATGTATCTGGTTAATAAATATCTGATTTACTTATTTACCTGATTAATTCATTTAGCTGGTTAATATTTATTTATTTATTGTTCCCAGTGACATTTTCATCTTTTTTTATAATTGGATATTGTTTGTATACAGCAATTAAATTATGTATATTTCTAAAAAAGATCAGAAAAAAATTAAAAGCATAAAAAATAGCTTAAAAATGTTTGTTTGAAAAATATTTATTTATCAATGTAATATTTATATTGTATAATATGCATTTAATTCATGTTTATTTATATATATATATATATATATATATATATATATTGACTTAATTATTAATTTGTCTATATATCAATTTATTTATTTATTCCATCCATCCCTGTGGTATCTTTGCTATTTTTAGAATTGGACATCATTTGTATACTGTAATGAAATTATTTGAATATTTCTAATAATAATTTATAATAAAGTTGAGAAAAATCATCTCAGTTCTACAATCTTTGTTAAAATCTATTTATTAGTCTAAACAAAAATGCTCTCCTGACAGGTTGTATCCAGTGCACGCAGTTTATCTCACACATACAGAGTTGTTCATCTCAATAAAATGAGACTAGTAAACTTCCTCTGTGACATTTAACCACAGCAGCACTTAAAACGACTTAGTATAGCTCTTTTTATCATTAACATCAAACCACTTTACTGGAGCTCTGCAGAAATCTCTTTCCCATACACTCACAGACAATTCAGTACAGTCACATATCAGCTCAGCTGAACAAGTACACTATGTCTCCTTTTTGTAGTTGTATTTGATCCAGAAAGATCACTTAAAATGCAGAGCAGCTGACAGTCACAGACAGTCCATTCAGTCATAGTTCTGATTGGATTCAGGCCACAATTAGTCCTAATTGAGCTTCTATGCTCCCATGCACAAATTACAGGCAGGGTAAACCTGAGCCGGGCCTCCCAGCAACTCTAGAGCACTGACATTTACTACAGCTTCCCCTACACATTCAGAGAATGACAAACACACAGGCCTCCAGACCTCCAGACCACCAGATACAAATACACACATTCACACAGACACAGTGTGTGGCAGACTGTTCACTTTAAAACGATGCAAGGGAACAGTCAACAACACATACTGCGTACTGGCAAAGATTATATTTTTGAGGAACAATATGCCTAACCCTAACATATTACCACATAATTTGTGCATACAAGTGTTACCATCTAGCTAAATTTATACAACTTATAAATTATATATGATTTAATTAATTTATATTACTTATACATTGTATATGAATTAATATTATATATTGTGTATTGTATAATTATATAACACATTTGATATGTATGTGTGTGTGTGTATATATATATATATATATATATATATATATATATCTAGTAGTAGGTAGTACTGAGACATACTACCATGTAATTTGCATATGTAAGTGTTATCATCTAGCAAAATGTATTATCATTTTTTAATTTATAAATTATTTTTAATATTATATTATTATATATTATTTAATTATATATTTTAATACATTCTGGATGTGCTATTATATAATTTTATATTATAATCATTATTAATACATTTTAAATATATATCAGGTATTGGCACATACTACTAAATAATTGCATATGCTAGTGTGACCATCTGAAAAATTTATTATCATCATTAGGTATATTATAATACCTTTTAAATGTATTATTGTTATTCTTATTTAAAACATACACCATAATTACCAATAATATAATCATTTATAATCACTTCACTTCACTTCACTTTAAATTTATAACCATTATATTTAAATCCATTATAACTTAATTTTAAGGTTTATGCATTTAAAAATGGTTAGTGTAGATTTAACTCCTCCTTTTCCATAGCACAAGAGGTCAAGGGAAATATTAGCCATAAAAGTTTATTGTGAGTTATAATGTCAGAACTGTGAGATATAGCCTAAACTGCAATTGTAAGAAAACGTCCGAATTGTGAGCTGACCTTTTTCTTCAGAATTGTATTTTATAACTCGCAATTGCAAATTTATATTTCTTTATCCGCAATGTTGACTATTTCTGCCAATTGTTAATTTCTATTTTGCTATTTTGGCATTATAACTCACAATTGCAAGGTTATATCTCACAATTTTGAGAAAAAAGTCAAAATTCCGAGTTTATATCTCACAATTCTATATTTATATATTTCTTAGATATATATTTATTTATATCTAGATACATTTCTTAGAACTGTGAGAAAAAAAAGTCAGAATTGTGAGATAAGTCGCTATTATCTTTGTTTTATTTTTTTAATTCCGTGTTGGAAACAGGCTTCGGAGATAAAATGGAAGTCATGTAAACTTAAATTAAATTGTTTTTTTTTTACATAAAACCTTGAATTTGGCTTAGGGAAGCAGATAAAAAGGTTCAGGATATGGCCCCTATAGAGTGAGGACAGCTGTGCGAGTGGGTAATTGTAGCTCTCCACAAACGGCGTGGGAGGACGTGTTCTCACTCACAGCTCCAGGATGAGCACCACATCAGTGCGGTTCTCGTAAACGTCGTGCAACGTGATGATGTTGGGATGCTGGAGCTCCTGTAGGATATCCACCTCTCTCTCGATCTCCTCTCGTCGAACGCCTCTCCGGCTCGCCCGACTCTGCCGCTTCTTAATGAACTTTGCAGCATATTCCACACCTGTACTCTTCTCCTTACAGCGCTTCACAATAGCAAACTGCCCACTGAGTAAAAAAGAGGGAGACAGAGAAAAACTTTCAGTTCTTTTAAGCCAGATGACAAATGATCTGAGTAATCACATTTAACATTCATCTCCCCAGGATATGGTTAATAATCCAATAGTACAAAAAACGTACACATCATATCTGTCAGTTTTGTAGGATTTGTGGGATTAAAACATTCCAGGGGATTAAAACATTTTATAGTTTCCTCAAAAGATTTGGTTGAGAAAATAATCGACTGCACAAGAATAAAACAAAACGAACATTTGGAACAATGTATAAACCATTCATTTATATAAAGTGACACTAGTGGATTTAGTTTCAGTAGAAGGGAGTGCTTTCTTTTTTTTCTCCCTTGAGCTCACTGTGTGCTCATTTAGATCTTTATACATGACGTAAATGTTATTGTAACAACAAAATGCATAAATTGTGAAGGGAGGCAGTGATTAAAATTTTATATGTAAATTTCATTTAGCAAATTATATATTTTTTTGCCTTTGATTCAAAATAATGACTACAATAAATATGAAAATTGTTTAAAAAAGCATACATCTGATTTTGATGTGACTTGGCTTTACTAAATAGCACATTAATATAAACATACAAAAATATTATAATATTGGTTTATTGTTAATAGTCCCAAGACTATGTTAAAATGCCCTTTTATAAGCTGATCAAAAGTAAAGGCATTAATAATGTTAATGACATTTTTTTCTCTCAAAGTTTTAGTAACAAAACATAAATAATTAAATTAAAAAGTAACAAAAAAACATTTATACATTTTTAGATTTTATTTATACATTTTTATATTATAAATTATGGTAGTTGAATAATAATAATGAATAATGTCGAAATAATGACTACAATAAATGCATAAACCTGATGAGACTTTGCTGTGAACAACAAATCAAGTTGAGTGAACTTAAACATACAAGTTTTAGGAGACCCATTACTCAGTTCAATTGAGGGAACGAGTTTACTCAGTCTGTTGAGTTGAGTCAACTTATTAGGGTTTTCAGTGTACACAGGACTAAAAAAACCAAGAGGGGACTTCTTCATCGCAAAAGTTGACCACATGCCACTGAGACATAGTTTAAAAGCATTAGACGCCTAATTTCCTTAAAGGGTTAGTTCACCCAAAAATGAAAATTCTGTCATTAATTACTCACCCTCGTGTTGTTCGAAACCCGTAAGACCTTCGTTCATCTTCGGAACACAATTTAAGATATTTTTGATGAAATCTGAGGGCTCTCTGACCCTCCCATAGACAGCAAGGTAACTACCACGTTCAAGGTCCAGAAAAGTACCAAGATGATCGACAAAGTAGTCCGTGTGACATCAGTAGTTCAACTGTAAAGTCACGAAGTTACGAGAATACTTTTTTGCGCAAAGAAAACAAAAATAACGACTTTATTCCACATTTAATAAAGTCCGCCACACACTCGTGTCATGATACTGTTGTGAACGCGCGTCCACAAGTGAGGCGCTATGTCCACAAGTAGAGACGAAAATGTGGAATAAAGTCGTTATTTTTGTTT